CTGCCCCATGGAAAACCCTCTGAGTATCCCGCTGCCCCATGGAAAACCCTCTGAGTGTCCCTCTGCCCCATGGAAAACCTTCTTGCTGCCCCATRGAAAACCCTCTGAGTGTCCCTCTGTCCCATAGAAAACCCTCTGAGTTTCCCTCTGCCCCATGGAAAACCCTCTGAGTGTCCCTCTGCCCCATGGAAACACTCTGAGTGTCCCTCTGCCCCATGGAAAACTCTCTGAGTGTCTCGCTGCCCCATGGAAAACCCTCTGAGTGTCCCACTGCCCCATGGAAACCCTCTTAGTGTCTTGCTGCCCCATGGAAAACCCTCTGAGTGTCCCTCTGCCCCATGGAAAACCCTCTTGAGCATCTCACTGCCCCATGGAAACACTCTGAGTGTCCCTCTGCCCCATGGAAAACCTTCTTGCTGCCCCATGGAAAACCCTCTGAGTGTCTCACTGCCCCATGGAAAACCCTCAGAATGTCTCACTGCCCCATGGAAAACCCTCTGAGTGTCTCACTGCCCCACACAAAGCAGGGCAGCTGTGCTGCTGCAGCTCTACCCCTTTCTTCTCTCAAGGAAATACTCGAGCATTTCATCCCAATTCTCAGTCTGTGGCTGCCCAGCACATTCCCCTGCTCCAATGCTGTCCCAACCCATGCCTGCCCAGGGTTATTTGAGGCCAGGAGCCCCTGGAAGTGCAGGGATGCTCAGCCTCAGGGGCATATTTGCTTCCCCCAGAGGGTTTTTCCAGCAGTCCGGGGACAGTGGTGACAACAGGCGGCGTCTGTGACTGGAAACGCTTCTGTGAAAGGGAAAATGTTTTACATCTGCACGGGACCAAAGAGGTCGCTGGTGGGCAGCGGCTGCATCTGAACCAGCCCGAGGAGAAAGGCAGCCCCAGGGATCTCTGCTGCCTCCTGGATGGTGGGAAGTCACCTCAGGAGGGTGTTGGTGGAGCTGCAGCTGACTCCAGAGCAAGCATTCTGTCCCAGCACATCCTCCTGTGTATTAAATGTTTGTGTGGCCTGGAAAGGTGCTGCTGCTGTTCAGTTAGAGTCAAAATCAGGGGCTGATATTGGTTCTTCCTGTAAGCAAGGCTTGAGAATGTGCTAAAATACAGTTCCTGTGTGGTGGCAAGGTCCTTTTCTGTGACAAGGTGCAGGCCACAGGGTACCTGAGCTCCTTTCTTCATGGGAATGGCCTGAGATATGGCAATAGGCTTTGGGAGCACACACTGGGTATGATACACACCCATTTTATCAATTATAAGGTGGACTTGGACATGGGAGGCAGGTCTGRCTCTTGTCTCTCCTTTTTGCACTCACCAGGAGCTTTTAGACTCACAAAACCTGCATTTTTTTGGTGGTTATACAGATTTTTCTTTCCACTTTTGGGGCAGGGTTGGTGGCAAAACCGCAGGAACAGGGAAGAGGCAGATGAAATCAGACTGTCACTGTTAACATTGGCAGGGGAGGTGTGGGGTTAGGAGTTTTGTTCATGTGAGAAAAAGAAAGTGAATTTGCTCAGTGGTGTTGGCTGTGCATGGATCCTCTTCTGTAGGGCTCAAACCTTCACTGGTGGTTAATTAGACAGGAAATGAACCTTCTTCAGCCCTGGGATGAGCCTCATCCCTTGTCACCTCTTCTCTCTCAGAATCTGCTGCACAGTGGTGTTGCCTGGCTTGGACAAGTGTCCACCCATGGGTCAGCACAGGGTGCAGTCATGGCACGTGGAGCTGTGCAGCAGCTGCTCTTGGACAGAATCRGAGCCCGGGGTGCAGGGAGGGAGGGCAGGGAGAGCAGGCACTGGCTGCAGCGATGTCCCTGGGGAGCAGGACACTGTGGTGACGCTCCTCAGTGACTTCATTTTGGCTTCGCAGGGCTGAAAAACTCCCTGGTGGCCCATGACATGGCATTTGAGGTGACACGGGCTCCCTGGAGCCCAGAGCAGCAGATGGAGCGGCCACGACTCACCAGGAGGGTCCTGGACACGGAGGACCAGGCTGCCTTCCGCCTCCACRCCAAGATGCCCCGTTACATCTTCTTCGCGGCCGACAGCGAGAACAAGTGGGGCCACCAGCGTGGCTACCGGATCCAGATCACCAGCTTTGCAGGGGATCACATCCCCGAGAGCAGCTCCATGGAGAGAGCCATCAGCTGGGCAAGGTCAGGCTGTTGTGGCTGTTGTGGCAGCTTCTCAGAGACGTTGCTGGATGTTCCTCCCGTGATGGGAGCGCAGGGAATCGCTCTGCTGGGGTTGGTGCTGTGCTCTGTGGGTTCTTCCAGCCCTGCCCTGCCTCAAGGGGATGCTCCCATCTCTTTTCTTGTCCTCAGGTACCAGCTGGCTGTCACCAAGAGGAAGGAGGAGGAGCCCACCAGCACCAGCATCTACAACCAGAACGACCCCTGGACGCCCACTGTGGCCTTYGCTGACTTCATCAACAATGAGACCATCACCAACGAGGTAATGGGGTCCTCTGGGGTGGAACGTGATACCAGAGAGCCCCAGGACTGTCCCAGGAGCAGAGCAACTCCAGCATACCCCGTGGGGCCCAGCTGTGAGTGCAGCAGCCCAGGGGAAAGAGGAAAGAGGGATTGAGCCCCCTGTTCTCTGTGTCTGCTCAGGGAACACAAATCAGAGCATTCCCTGTGGAGAAATGCTGGCAAAATGTCAGAGATGAAAATCTCTGCAGGCCAGAGCGAGGCCAAGGAGGTCAAGTCCTTCCTCTGGGTGGAAATCTGCAGCCATGGGTGGGGCAGCTCTTTGGGGAAGGGAGGGGTTCGTTCCCAGGAGGGAGGAGCTTGGTGTGGAATCACCACTGATATCCATAGGGGTCCCCATCCTTCTCTCCTGTCACTCCCCACGGCCCCGTGGGTATTTCTGTCACTGCTGCTGCAGCTTGTGAAGTAACCCTGGCCTTGTGGCTCTTCCCTGCCTAGGACCTGGTTGCCTGGATAACTGCTGGCTTCCTTCACATCCCACACTCCGAGGACATTCCCAACACTGTGACCGTGGGAAACTCGGTCGGTTTTCTCCTGAGACCCTACAACTACTATGACCTGGACCCCTCTATATACTCCCACGATGGAGTGTTTTTCACCAGCGAGCAGGACCTCAAGGCGTGTGAAACCAATCCTCTTGCCTGCTTGCCCAAAACTGCCTCCTGTGTGCCAAACTTCCCCCCGTTCACCTACGATGGTTTTCAAAACATGAGCAGGCTTTAATGCTACAGGATGGTGTGAAGAGATGTGGTCAAAGACACCAGACTGACCTCTCTGTCTCAGATTTTCAGTGAAAACTTTTAGTTTTTAGTGAGGTTGTCTCAATTTCCAGTTGTCCRGTGGCTTCACATTTTATCGTTGCTTTTGAAATAGTGCTCTCGAAAAGGGATGGATGATTTTCCTAGCGTGATGCCACATGGAGGTCTGTTCTCTGTCGATTCCTGAATTTGAGTCTGAGGAAAATGAGGAGAAAATCCTGTTCCTCTGCTGTAGAAGCGAGTGCTGTGTAGTGCATTTTTTTTCAGGTTAAAACAATGAAAATGGTGCTGGTCCAATGCTCTCAAGTGTCTCGTTCTTACAGCAGCATCTCCTGGGGGTGATATTGGTCTGTGCCATGTTTCCTGTGCCCATGAGCCAGCCCAGCACTGTGGCTCTGGGTGGTCACTGGGGCAGGGGGGTGTCCAGCTGGAGGGATGGGATGGGCTGGGGAGTGACCCAGGGGTGTGGACTGAGGTGGACACCAAGCACTGTTGGGGGGAGGCTGGGTCATGGCCAGGGCTGTGTGGGCTGTGGCTATCAGACCTTCAGTGCTGGCCACAAAGGAGGGATCTGGACTGGACCTTGCAGGAAGGGCTCTGTGGCTGCTGGTGACAGCACAGCCAATGCCACTGCCTGTTTGCCAGGATGCTGTTGGGCTCTGGAGCCCTTGTTCCTCTCCTCACAGATCCATCGGTGCCAAGATTCAACTCAGGATCACTGGGCACCTTTGCAGGGTGACAAAGRGCTGTCCCCTCCCCTCCCTCCCAGCTGCAGGACCCACGGGGATGTTGGCAGCAAAAATTGGTGCTGCTGGTGAGGGCAGGGCTGCGCCAGGACGGGGCAGTGGTGCTGTGTCCAGCACTGCTCTGCACAGGGAAGGCTTTTCTCTGCTGTCTGCCCAGCATCTGTGGGGTTAAGAGAAGGAGGAGCAGGGAGATGTGTTTATTTTCCCCCAAAAGACTGGATCCATCCTCTCCAAGCTCTGCAATGTAGGATCTGGAAAACCAGAGAGGAAGGACAGATGTATAAGCATTGAATTTACTTAAAATTATGACCCCCTAGGGAAGCAGAGCAAAGTTGCCTTTTATGGTTCCCAGCAAATCCTGGCACCGTGTGAGAACGTCCCCTCGCACCCTCCCTGCGATTTCCTCCGGGCTGTTCCCTTGCTGAGGAAACAGGGGAAAAAAATAAACCCCAAGCAAACCCAGCCCCTTGTCCTAGCGAGCTACTGGGAGGATTCTGCAGCTGGGAACGTGTCCTGCCAGAGTGCGGGAGCGCTCGGTGCCGCAGCAGCATGAACATGAAAACGGTGCTCATCCTCCTCGGTCTGGCCTTGGCCACAATCTTCGCCCTGCTCTGCGTGTTGCTGACCAGAGGAAAGACCCCCAGCCCGTGCCAGCAGCTGCCCCCAGAGCAGGAGGACACAGAGGATGGCCAGAGCCTGGTGTTTGCTGACCTGAGCCCCGAGGAAATGTCCCAGGTGGTTCGGTACCTGCAGGGCAGCCTCGGGGTGCCGCTGGTGGACGCCTCTCGCGCCAAACCCTCGGACAACTGCATCGCCTCGCTGGATCTGCAGGTGCCCGCCAAGGCGGAGGCGCTGCGGTTCCTGGACGGTGGAGGGGCTCGTCCCCCCCGAGAGGCCCTGGCCGTGCTGTACTTTGGGAAGCAGCCCGAGCCCAACATCACCGAGTACGTGGTGGGGCCGCTGCCGGTGCCGGCGTACCACCGGGACGTGACGGTGCACAAGTACGGCGGGAAGGTGCCCTACCACCGCAGACCCGTCACCGGCAAGGAGTACGCCGACATCAACGCCCTCATCCASAGGGAGCTGAAAAAGGCTCCGCGCTTCCTCTCTGCCTGCTGCGAGTCCGACGGCACCGACCTGGTCACCCTCACCACGGCCCCGCGGGGCTTCAAGTCCGGTGACCGTGTGACCTGGTTTGTCCTTTTCCACAACGTGGCTGGCACTGGTTATTACCTGTCACCGGTGGGSCTGGAGGTGCTGGTGGACCATGGGGATCTCCACGTCCCGCACTGGCAGCTGCGCCAAGTCTTCTACAACGGTCGCTATTTTGCCAGCACGGGGGATCTGGAGCGGGAGTTTGTGGCCGGAGCGCTGGACSTTGTGAGACTCAAGCAGCCCCGGGATGATGAGGTGCTGGGCTCATTGAAACCCCGGAGCCCCCCTGGATCCCCGGCTCCCCTGCAGTTTGAGCCRCAGGGTCCCCGCTACAGCGTCAGGGGCAATCTCATCACSTTCCAGGGCTGGAGCATGGCCTTTGGCATCAACCCCAACTCCGGCCCGCGATTCTTTGACATCAGGTACCGCGGGGAGAGGATTATCTACGAGCTGAGTCTGCAGGAGGCCATAGCCCTGTACGGCTCCAACTGCCCCGGGGGCATGTCCACCCGCTACCTGGAYGGCAGCTTCGGCATGGGCAGGTTTGCCTACGAGCTGGTGCGGGGCCTCGACTGCCCCTACACAGCCACCTAYGTGGACAGGCACTACCTGGCGGAGGCAGATACGCCCAAAACCAACCAAAACTCGCTCTGCATCTTCGAGCACGACTCCGCCCTCCCCCTGCGGCGCCACTTCTCCGACTCGCAGTCCTTCTACTACGGCGGGCTGCGCAGGAACACGCTGGTCATCCGCAGCATCTCCACGCTCATCAACTAYGACTACATCTGGGACTTTGTGTTCCACGGCAATGGTGCTGTGGAGGTCAGAGTGCACGCCACTGGCTACATCAGCTCCTCCTTCCTCCATGGCCAAGGCACCGACTATGGCAACAGGGTGGGGCCCCACACGCTGGGCACCATGCACGTCCACCACATGCACTACAAGGTGGACCTGGATGTCGATGGTAGGTCTGGCCACCTCCGTGCACGGCTGTGGTTTGCTGTGGCCTGGGGTGAGGAGCTYGAGAGGGTTTTCTTTTCTGCTTCACAGGGCAGCTGAATTCCCTGGAGAGCCAGGACATGGAGTATGAGTTTGTCAAGGATCCCTGGAGCGCGCAGAACACCATCGAGCGGCCGCGCCTCCGCAGGAAAAGGCTGCAGAAGGAGGATGAGGCGACGTTCCCACTCAACGCCCCCATGCCCCGCTACCTGTCCTTCACCAGCCCCAACCCCAACAAGTGGGGCCACCCCCGCAGCTACCGGATCCAGATCATCAGCTTTGCTGGGAAGCACCTGCCCACCAACAGCTCCATGGAACGCTCTGTCAGCTGGGGCAGGTGGGTGCCAGGGCTGGGCAGCCTCAGCTCCTTCTCCCCCTGGAGGAGGGGATCTGTCACCAGGCTGCAGGCAAGGGTTAAACAGCAAACACTCACAGCTTTTGGCTCTGAAATTTCCTTGAAATGTTGCTCAATAACATCTGCTCGTGGTAGTTCACAGGCAGGAATCTGACCCCACGTCAGATTAATTTAGAGCAGTCCCATGTGGTTTTCCCTTTGAAGGGRGAAGTAGGCTCAGGACAGATYGCTAAGGGAAGCAYTGGCATGGCCAGGTTGTGATACCTTCCCCARAGGGCAGAATGTGTTTTGGGATAAGCACAGAGCAGTGTCAGYGCCAGGGTGAGCTGACAGAGCTCGTGCTGGGGAGCTCTGTGTGGGGCAGAAGCAGCTGTGGCTTCAGGGAGTGCACTGGGCATGGAGTGGCAGCGTTTGGATCCATTCACGTTTCTCAGCCATGCTGGAAAAGCCACAGGCAGCAAGGGATGCTCCAAAGCTCAAAGGTGCTGGGGCTGCTGCTGTGCTCATCCCCCCCAGCCCTTTCCCTCCCCACCCAGGGCAGCCCAGGGACACATCCAGCCCCAGTTTGGTGGTGCATCCCAGCTGGCAATGGCATGGCTGCCCTGGGCTGGCCTGGACGAGCCCCTCTGACCGCTGTGCTGGCCGCAGGTACCAGCTGGCYGTCACSARGAGGAAGGAGGAGGAGCCCACCAGCAGCAGTGTCTACAACCAGAACGACCCCTGGACTCCCACTGTGGCCTTTGCTGACTTCATCAACAATGAGACCATCACCAACGAGGTAACGGGGTCCTGGGATGGAGAGGGACTGAGCCTTGTAGGGCCACCCTGGGGTCCCTGGGATGGATGGGGCTCAGCCTTTTGGGGCCACCCCGGGGTCCCTGGGATGGAGAGGGACTGAGCCTTGTGGGGCCACCCTGGGGTCCCTGGGATGGATGGGGCTCAGCCTTTTGGGGCCACCCTGGTGTCCCTGGGATGGGCAGGGGCTGAGCCTTTTGGGGCCACCCTGGTGTCCCTGGGATGGATGGGGCTGAGCCTTGTGGGGCCACCCTGGGGTCCCTGGGATGGAGAGGGACTGAGCCTTTTGGGGCCACCCTGGGGTCCCTGGGATGGATGGGGCTCAGCCTTGTGGGGGTCACTCTGGGGTCCCTGGGATGGATGGGGCTGAGCCTTTTGGGGCCACCCTTGGGTCCCTGGGATGGAGCGGGACTGAGGCTTTTGGGGCCATCCCAGGGTCCCTGGAATGGATTGGGCTCAGCCTTTTGGGGCCACAGAGGTTTCACCCCTCCCAGAGCCAGACTGAGCAGCTGCCGGGCTGTAAGAGCCCTGCTCAGCCTGACAGCTCCTCTTCTCCCCAGGACTTGGTTGCCTGGATCACTGTGGGGTTCCTGCACATCCCCCATGCCGAAGATGTCCCCAACACGGTGACCGTGGGGAACAGTGTTGGCTTTTTCCTGAGACCCTACAATTACTTTGACGAGGACGCCTCGGTGGAGTCACCTGACAGCGTCTACTTCAGCAGTGAGCAGGATGTCGGGGCKTGTGGGGACAATCCCCTGGCCTGCCTGTCCCCTGCCACTGCCTGTGCCCCCCATCTGCCCCCCTTCCACTTTGGGGGCTTCCTSAACCTCAGCCTGGCACCGCCGGGTGGGCTCTGACGGATCAGGGGCTGCTCAGGGGGGCTCTGTGCCATGCCAGGACCTGCCCTCCCCTGCCCAGGGTGTCCTGTGCTCCGGGCAGGCTTCTGGAGAAGCACAGCTCTCCTTGCAGCACTGCCAAAGGGGGACCCAAACCCTCTGAAAAACAACTCCTAGGAGTGATTTTTTAAAGTTTCATCCAGGATGTCACCCTCTGTACCATGGGATGCCCACAGCCGCTCCCCTCCTCTGGCGTGGGGCTCCTGCTGCCTTCCAGTTGGTTCACACAGGGTGACAGTGACAGTGACAGCTGGGCTTGCTGCAGCTGCCCTTGGAGCTGTGATCCACTGAGGTTTTGCTCACAGTGGCAGGAGCCACAGGACACCCAAAACATCCTCCCCAGCCCTGCAGCCATTGTGGACACTGGCTGAGCTCTGACCACTGCTGCAGTTCCCACTCTGCTGATGGGGACAGAGCTCTGGGCTCGCTGGGAGGCTGCTGGAGGAGCCCACGGGTGGGCACTGCCCGGGCTGGACCATCCCGTGTCCATCCTTCCCAATAAACAGGCACTGAGTGCTTCTCCTGAACAAACCGGTGTAGCTCAGGCTCCTGAGGCTGCCCCTGGCACAGCTGATGATGCCCTGAAGGGAYGGACAGCCCTGGCTCGGCTCTGCAGGGTCCAAGGGCCGTGGTGCCCGGCCTGGCTGTGTCCTGGCCGTGCTCCTGGACCCTGGGTGCTGGCAGCAGGGGTGAGGGGCAAACAGGGGAGTTAATGTTTAACACTTGTTCCGAGCTGCGTTAATCAGTTCTGGGCTTGGCTGCTGCCCAGCCTGCTCAGCCCCCATGCAGGGACCCGTTCCTCTACACCCCCAGCTCTGGGCTGCAGCATCCCACAGCCCCCAGAGCCCAGCCCCAGTCTGGGGTGGGGACACCAAGATGTTTAGTGACACCAGTGCCAGCCCTGGCATGAGGCTGCAGATGTTGAGCACTCACCAAGGTGTCCCTGGGGACAGGGTGGGTGTCCATCTCCTCTGACCCCTTGCTGTGGTGGGTGGGTCTGTTCAGAACTGCGCTGTGAGGGGTTTGAGCAGCCCTAATGTCCCCCTGGGAGCCAGCTCAGCTCACTGCAGCACAGGGCAGAGGTGCTGGCAGGAGTGGGCAGCTCCGGCCATGGCTCAGTGCGAGGCTGCAGCAGTCCCTGGGTGCCCTGGGGTGACAGTGGGGACAGTGTCCAGGGCTCCTCCCRGGCCTTGTGCCCAAGGGAGGTCGTGGCTGGCTGGCTCCCGTGCCCACATGTGCCCAGTGCCACTCGTGCACTGACCATCACCCTGCACAGCCCAGCCCAGGCCTTGAGCCACCTGGGAACGTTCTGGACCAACCACTGGCACTGCAGGTGGCACCCACTGGTTCTGGACCTGTCATTGCTGCATCCAGAACCTTGGGAGTCACAGGGACAGCGTGTCCCAGAGTCACTGCTGTGGTCACTCAGCTCCTGGGCTGCCAGCTGATCCTGTGCACAGCCCCAGGGCAGCAATGGGGCTCCCCCAGGCTGGTCCCGCTCCTTCCCTGGCAAAGCCAGGGTTACAGTGCATGTCCCCAGCTGGCGAGGCTGTGCAGGGCAGGGGACGAGCTGGACCCTGAACCATGATCAGACTGGCCAGGATCAGAATCCTGCAGTGCCCAGGCAGCTCCTGCTGCCCTGACCTGCCCCAGGCCCATACAGGGACTTTGGGGCCAGGGATTTATCCACAGGGCAGGGCATGTCTGGGACCATGTGGTGCAGTCCTGACCATGGCATGTGCACCTGGCTGAGCCACTCTGTCCTCTGTGCCGGGAGGGAGGAGGTGACTCGAGGGAAGAGGTGTCTCCTTCCATCCTGCTTCCTTTCCTCTCCTCACTGTGGCCCCAGTTTTCCTGCAGTGACTCTTTCCAAGGGGACTGCAGTCCYAGTCCCCATCCCCCAACACCTTTTGCCCCGTTTTCCGCTGTGAAATCTCCCGTGAAGGATTTATTGCTGATGGTTTCAAAACATTTTTGACGCGGAAGCCAAATCTGTTGCATTCCTTCACGCTGGCCAAAGCCACTCTCAGTGGAGGACCCTGGAATGAGCTGCTGGGGAATTTGTTTTGTGAGAGTAATTGAATTTCTGTGCAAACAGCTGTTTTGTTGGGATGTTTGGTAGGTCAGGAGCTCAGTCCAGGATCTGGGACCACCTTCTTCCAGGCTGGGAAGGGGGTGCCTTCAGCAGGGCTGATGCTGTGGCCTTTGCACTGCTCCTTTCACAAGTCATCCATGCCCATATCCCAAAATTTGCTGGTTTTTTCCCTGTCAGACCCCAGGCTCTGCATGGGCAGAGGGGCAGGATGGGGCCTGCAGCTGCTGCTGTTTGTGAGCAGGACTCAGTGCTGGACGCAGCCATGGCACAGGCAAACAGCACGGGGCAGCGGTTCAAGGATCCTGACTCCAATTTTCTCAGGAGGGAGATAAGTGATGCGTTTCACTGGCTGTTGATCATTAACACCTTGCTGCCYGGTCAGCTGGGCACCCTGTGCTGCTGYCCCAGAGGGTGACAAAGCCAGGGACAGCAGAGTGTGGCTGGGGTTGAGGGGATGRCCATGGAATGTTGTGTCCCCATGGTGTGTTTGGCTCTGTCCCTGCAGCTGGGATGTGATGGGGCAGGAGGGATCAACCCAGTGGGGCAGTGCTGGGAGGAGAAATGCTGTCCCTGTTGGCAAAGGTCTTTTAGCCCCATGCTGGAGAGCAGAAGAACAGCTGGCAGCCAGGAGCATCCCAGGCCTGGCTGTCTGGGGCTGWGGGGAGCTCCAGGAATGGCTCTGAAAGTTTCTCATCATCAGAAGTCCTGATTAAATTACTCTGGCAAATAAGGGCAGAATGTCCCTTGCTCCCTGCACCCAACTCCATGCTCCTGGGCATCCTCCCCATGCTCTGGGGGTGGTTCCTGGGGTGATGGCAGAGAGATGAGAGCAGTGCCAGCCCTGGGCATGGCAGCTCTGCAGGACTGTCACACAGAGTGTGGGAYAATGGAGCAAAGGCTGAGATTTGGTCAGAGCAGCTGAACTGCTGTATGGG